AGTTGGTGGATCGGTTGTTTTAGAACCTTTATACTATGCCTGACTCTATACCCTTAGTTGCTGTTTTTTCCTTGAGTCCTGATATACAGATATAACCTGGAGTTCTCCAACAATGTGTTTTTTCCACAATGCTCCACTTGGAGTTCTTGTCAGAGCAGATGTTACACAGATTATTCATTGAGTATAAGCTGAAACATGACTTCAGATAAAAGGCATACCCCTTTTCACATTCCTATTCTTTAGGGTGATGTCTTTGTGCTTGGAACAGCTTCTTTATATTTTATTCAAATAAAACCTGAACATAATTTTTCTGTAGACAGTAGGTATTAGAGAACTGAACAACCCTCCTCCAACAAAATTAATTTCAAAACCAGTAAATTTACAAATAGATTTCTGGAATATTTTTGATTTCTAAGGAAAGTAATTGTCTTGTGATTAGACCCCTTTTATAAGATTTGGGTTAAGCTGGTCATTTCATAGCAATTACTGTGGTACAACAGGGTAAACATATTAATTTCATGTACGTCCAAGAACTTCAAAACAATTTTGCCTGGTCAAAGAAGAGTTTCTCTGAGATTACATGTATTTATGATAGGATCAAATGCTGCAGCAGTGGTGCATTAGTAACATACGGAGATCTGTGTTACCGAGGATATGCAGTCAGGGTTTTTTTTCTCCTGGTGCAGGCAGGTTTTATTAGGTGAGATCATTCTATTATACAGCAAAATGTGGGGTGTTCAAAGCTTGGAAATGTGTTCTCAAGATTCAAAGTAACAAAAGTCACAACCTTGTGATTTTTTTGAAATGCACTATCAGTTGTCATGTTTGTAACTGTTCTTGGAATAGAGAAGCAATAGTGTTTTTTTCTTGCTACTTGTTATCGTGCTTGAAAAAGTTGGTTTAGGTCTGGGTGGTGAATGACTGTTACCTGCTTACACTTGTCTAACTGGAAGAGTGAATTAGTGTTACTTTTCTTCCTTTGACTTCTTTCTTAAAAGAAACAAAATTTTCCTAGCATGACATTTGACTAAATGTAAAAGTCAATTTGTATTTTCATTCAAACATCCAAAGTTAAGAGAACTATATTGTTAAAAGTGTTTTAGCCATGGACTATATTATTCCGCATATTGTGCAATATTCTACACCATGAAACTGTACATTCTGTGTGGAGCCCTTTGGTGCCATCAAAACAGTATAGTCAAAGCTGTATATTCTTTTCTTATTATAAAATAGGTACTAGGAGAATTTTTACCAACTTCTGATATGCTTTGATCTTTATTATCAGTGCAGATAGTGAATAATTTAGGAAATGCAATATCTTCACTTCTACAAAGCCATGTCTTAAAAGAGCCATCCAGTGTGCCATACTACTCAGATTGTTTCAATTACTCCATTAATTCTGATCCTTCTTTAAATTCCAGTATGGTTTAAGAGATATCTGCCTTTCTGCTTCAGTAATTACAGTTACTAAGGTGTCATTGCAAATAAAAATAGTTCTATTCTAATGAAAGTTATTGGAAATAGATATTTTTCATTACTGTTGTTATGTCTTTGCATTTGCAATAGTACTTACATTCATTACTTCAATTCTGTAGAACACAAATTAACTGAAGTCTCACTCTATCTGCTATAAAGCTTTCAACTTTGTCCTTTGGAATCTAGCTATAATAAACTCCATTAATCTTTGACTTCAGTTCAAAGGTGATTAGAAGTCATGCTCGATAGCCTATGCTACGTATAGGACTTGCAACAAAAGAAAAAGAATATTTGGTTTAAATATGATTTATTATTGAAGTTACTAGAGGAACAAATAGGAGAGATCAGAACACTGTTTATCAGCATTTAAGCCTTGAAGAATGCTTGTAGAGACTAACACAATGAGCAGTGCCCAGAATAACTTGAAAATTTCAAATGCAGTTTTAACTGAGTAGCTGAGATGTTACCTCCATGTAAAGACTCGGACTAAGTTTGGTATCTATATGAAACTGATATGAAACTTTCTATATGAAACTTTTATATGAAGTCAGTGCCATTTTCAGAGCTATTTTCTCAAATACAAACAGTAATATTGTACAGATCTCAAGATGTGTGTCTGATTGTTCTCCCCCATAAACCTATTCAAGTACATAAATTTAGATGTCAGAATACCTCACTTTTCCATTTTTAGATGAATGGGCTCCATGTTGCCAGGCTGAAAAAGGGACTGTTAACCTTTCTAGGTGCATTTTTGAATTCTGTCCCATGTTCTATGGTTGGTGTGCAACACTATGAAAGACTTCTAACCAGTAGGATAAAAATGTCCCTTTTTTCTTTTTCCTTTTTTTTTCTTTTTTTTTTTTAATTTGTACAACAAATAGTATATAGAGAGTCCTTCCAATATACATTACTTGTATATTCCTTCTCACCAATCTGTTTGTAGAGACTTGGGAGTGAAAAAAAATGAGGCAGCATTAGAAGTTATTCCGGAGTGAAAGGGGTGCTGATCTGCAGTGTATTCCTTTGGTGATTAGCTAGGTGGATTACCTAACAGCAGAGACAGCTGGTGTAACAGGTCATAGCACAGGCTGCCTGATTTATCAGGTCATGTGGCAAAGGATGGGGCCAAAGTGTTAGATTGCAAGTGGGGGACATATCATCTCTGTGAAGTTTTTGGTTGCAGGCCACTGCTGGTTAAGGTGACCCTGGCTCACTTTGTGCCCTTTTTTGCTGGCTCTGTAGATCAGGCTAAGCATCAGTGTCTGTCAGGTTTGAGTTGTGGAGCAGAAGAGGAAACTTTGCTGCAAGTAGGATACAGCTTAGGTTTGTGGAAAGAGAATACAGTGACCTTTGCATGATCAAACTCAGGACTGAAGGAGGGGCAGGCTTACTAGGAACCATGTGACTGCAAAGATCAGGTTGGGAAGGAATGTAGATCTTGGGCTGCTATCAAGAAGGCAGGGAGAAGAGGCTCCCTCATGCGTGACAGTGGGAAAGGAAAAGTGAAGCTTTTTTTTCATAGTTTAATAAGATATATTGTGTTTAGGTCACACAAGTGTGACAATCTGGGACAATGATATGAAACCTTGGAACAAAAGCCTGCTTCTGATGCAAAGAAGATAGAGACTTTTTTACAAGTAGTCACATGTAAAAGACAATGAGTACAAAATTCAGGGGAGATTCTGATTAGACAGAAGAGGATAATATTTCACAGTGGGAGCAATTGGCCATTGGAAGAATCTCCCCATAAAGTGGTGGATGCTCAAATGTTTTGACACTTCCAAGATTCATGTGCACCGTCTTATTTAGACCATGCTTTTACCAAGAAATGTTGGACCAGATAAACCTTAAGGCCCCCTGCCAACCTGGTATTCTGATTCTCTGCAGATTTTCATTTATAGCAAAACTTCATGCCTGTATAACTATTGTACATCTCCCTGCATAATTACTAATTTAAAGCATAACGCATTTGAGAAAAAATTATTTATAACTACATATTGGATAATAGGTTGCTAAGAAACAGGGTATTCTTTAAAAAGCAGGGCATATAATTTATTAGCTTTTCTATATTGCTCTGTGATATATGATGCAGAGATAGCATATGGATTTTCTAGTTGTCTTACAAGCCTGCCAGGCACATTTAAGACTTTGGAGCCAAGTAGATATTCTCCATTCTAAAGGATAGCTTGTACGTAGACCTAGTGCATGACAAAGCTCCAAAAGAATATGTGGAAAACATTTTTGTTCAAAGTTCCTAATGACCAGCTATAAATTATCTAAAACATATCACTGCACAGAAGAAAAATAGTTTATTACAGAAACAAACAAACAAACAAAAAGCTAGAACACTATCAGTAGCTAGGCTAGCACTAATGCAAATCAATATAAGCATAAAATTGATAGTTCATGTATCATAGTAAGGGCATAGAGATTGACAGAAAATAACACCCCCTGCATTCCAGCTGGTCCTTAGACATCAGAGGATCTGAGTGTAGCTGGGCTTGATTTATGATTATAATCAATTTGGCACTATAGGTTGTGTTCAGTAAGAACTTTCACAAGCACAGATTCACAAATAGTGCAATTTACCAAAACTACAGGTCAAGCTGTTCTCAGTAAGAACCTTCACTGTCCCAGGTTCACACATAGCACACATAGTTTGGTTTATTGAAACAACAGAAACACAGACTTGGAATTGCTGTTGATAAACAGCACTAAATGTTACAGAGCTCTAACAGTAACAATAATATTGTGTTAGCCTGGGTAATAACAATAATCCTACGCAGAAGCTTACCAAGCAGGCATTCCTACTTGTGAAGGGAGGACAATAACCCACCAACTGACTCCAAGATCTTTTTGGGTCTCTGGCTAAGTACATGAAATTTCTATCTGGTGTACATAAAGCCCCATCTTATTCTCCTCCTCCTTCTTTACATGTAGCATAATCAAGGTGGAGGATTGAATAACATAGTCATGCATGTGGTAGCATGTACTTCAATAATCTTATTAGCATACTCAGGGTGTATACTTTAATATTTAAATATTTAAACCCTTAGTCAGGCAAAAGTTACTTTTTTGGCATGGTGTCCTTCATGACTTGTTCTGTTCTGTTCAGTTCTTCAGAGCCAAAACAAAACAGATAGGACCATCCTATCTCCACAGGGCCTCCTCCTTCAGCCCACTCATCATTTCTTGACGTCAGCTACGCAGAACTTCATCTGCAAAGATAATACAGAAGGCATGTGGTGTAGGCTGTACATAGTAGGCTGTCTTAACCCTTGCCAGGCTTCTTGGTCATCACACTACACCGTCTTAAAATCACATTAATGAGGTACATTAAAAATGCATTCATAATCCAGAAATAATCCTAATACAACTGCTATTGAATTTCCCCAGGCACAATCTTCTACAAACTCTGTACAGAAGAATCTATCTGATAGAGGCTAAATTTTTATTTGACCAGAACTACTTTCTTTGTATTCAAAACATCAGCTAGCTATCAGAACGTAGTTAATTATTAATGCATGTGTATAATCAGGACACCTGACTCTGCAGATTGTTAGCAGGTTAGCAGAGTGTACTTCTCTTTAAGCAGATCAGAGAAGGAAAATAGGATTGAAAGTTTACTTGCAATGTTTTGTTAGGCTAAGAAAAATGTAAAATATTCTTGCTAACTGCACATCAATGCAGTTTCCACAGTTTCAGTGCAATCTGGATTTAATCTAAAATGTCAAGGATCTTAGACCAGAGAATTCTGTTGTTAGTAATTTCATTTTCAGCAAGTGTTCAGAGTACAAAGATACTTTCAGAATGGAAGAAGTGTGGTGATCTGGAATGTGAGAGTAAGTAAAAATTCTTTTCAGAGAGTCTGTGGTATATATGCAGCTATTAGGAATCATAATGTCAAAATTAGCAATGAAATAGATTGAAAATGAGTAGCCATAGCAAATGTTTGTTACTAATATACTAAGTTTAAGAGCAATAGGCTCAAACTTCTAAAACAAAAAGAGAAAAAAAAGACTTGCTGGGTTGTTGTGTAAGGTTATACCGACCAAAGTTCAGTAAAAATACTTTTGAATAGCTAGATTTCCTCAGGTGTCCCCAAAATGAGCAGCTTTAAAGTGTTTTTAACTAATTCTTTACAGGTACAAAATAAAATAAACCAAATATAAATACAATTAAAATCGTAGGTTTTAAACTGAAAGGAAGACCTTTTATCATGTGTTTATAGTATATTCATAGACTATTCTGCAGAACTCTTGGGGTTTTTTTCTACTGTAAGCAAACTGGGATTTCTTTTGTAGTCCTTCTTACAAAACACTCTGTTAATATTTCCTCTTATTTTTTCTTCTTTAACACGAAGTAAGTGCTGTAACTAGTTATGTGGTTCTCAAAGAGTAAATAACTCTGCAGGAGGCAGAGGCAATGAATCACAAATGGGCAAATAATGTCCTGTTTATTATCCACCGATTACCATTGTGAAACCTGTCATAAACATAGTTGAAACTGTTTCTAAGCTGTTTCCATTACTTTGGCAGACTTAAGTGTTGTATTTTCAATGTATTTTCAATGTATTTTCAATCTTTCACTTCCCCTGAAGTGGAAGAGACCTTAGATTTCCTCTGATGATGGATTTCTATTTTCTTGTGTAGCCATACCAACTTCAGTAGGTTCTGGATGTTCATAGACGTCTATCTTTGTGGAACAGCATGAGAAACGGGCTCTGAACTTATTAGAGCACATCAGTAGTGGTTTCTGTGGGGAGGCAGGGGTGGAGACAAAGAAAACTTCAAATAATTCAAACTGAATTGGAAATTTTAATTTTAACAATGTGTTTAAGGTTTATATTCCTAAAATTTCTTTATTTTCATCATAAGATAAATGTATTCAAAATAGAGGACAAAATCCCTGAAATAATAACTAGATTTAAGTTAGAATTTCTAATATATAAAATTATAAATATCCCTGGGAAATACTTTTTAGCTGTTTAGATCTACTTTAGTAATTGAATTTGCTAATCCTGCATACATCCTTTCAATTTAAGCATTGAAACCTTGGCTAAACAAGCACTGGAAAATTCCCATATATGACAAGAACTTTTTCCCTTGATGTCTGCAATACATAGGAAAGAAAACAAGACAGGGCTGCGTTTTTAAGTTGATTTCCATTTGATGATATAAATGGATTAGTATCTTAACAAAGCACATACATTGAAATGTTTGCTACTGCCATTCATCAGTATTTGATATATGTCAGATTTCTTCAGTAACCTGACTTCAGACAAAATGGATATTGTATTTGTTTATTTCTTTCCACATGTTATTCCAGAGGCAATGAGCCGAGTTCAAGCCACTACCGACTACTTAGGGCCTGATTGCCGGTATCTTAACTTCAAAACAGGGGAGGAGATCATTGTGTACTCCAAACTTTCCAGGGAAAATGAAAACTTGTGGACAGGAAGTGTAAGTACTTCAATCCAAAAGACTTTCCTCATAAATATTTTAGATACAGTAATAGCGTAACAAACACAGTCTACTTGTTTCTAAGGGTCTTCTATCTCTTTTGGAATATGAACCAGTCATGGATCAATACAGTATTTGGGAGATGGGTCACTGTTACTATCTTTATGTAGAAAGAGAAAATCAAATCTTGGCAAAGATCACTCATAGAGAAACAAAGTCAGGATCAGAATACAAGTTTTCTGTTCCCTTCATCTTACCATTTGGCTGTAATGATTTAATCTCAGAACAAGTGTCAACAAAGTTAGAAGAGTCATTTAAGAAGGAACGGATGTATTGATCCAAATCAAGTTTTACTGCTAGTAAAACTCTGTGAGTGCTTCAAAACAACAAGACATTAGTACAGTTTTGGGGTGTTTATTTTTTTTCTGTAAATAGTCTGTCCCATTTATAGTTTAACAATGAAATTCTGTCTTCCTTTTTTTTTTCATCCAAGAGTATCTTTCCAGGTACCTAACTATTCCTTGCTTTCTAAGATGGATCCCTCCATTAAAGGCTACCTGTAATGCTTTGATGTAAAGACAACAGTGTTTTTTTGGACAGAGGGACTTGATTCTTCTGGGCTCTACCACTAACTTATTTTCTGTAGTGTTTCCATCTTCACTGTAATTTTCTCTTGAGCTGCAGCTAGTCTCATATCTGAATTTCACAGCCTACTTTTCTTGTAACTTAATATGGTCATTGGTTATTAAGGCATGACATTTTTCCCGTTTGAGACAATGGGAAATTTACAGCCAATTTTAGTAGGAGCTGCTTGCAACCATTAATACACACAGCACTGTCTTCAGCTGAAGCACTTTTAAGGCTACTGCTTTGGTACTACACAAACTCATGTCCATAAAAATAATACAGAATATACTAGTATAGAGTAATATACTTTCCCTTGCTTTCTGAAACAGCAAGGGGAACACTTCTGTGAAGGAAAAATAAACCAACCTTTTGACAAAACAGAATTAAGGAGACAGAGAGCTGCTCTATAAACTTGTTTATCCATACTTTTCCAGCACATATGCAAGTACCTAATATATATATATATATCACTGGAGTTTAAATGCTCTTATTAGTTTTATATCTTTTACAGAAAGGAAAGGATTTTGGATATTTCCCAAGAGATGCTGTGAAGGTTGAGGAAGTTTTAATTGAAGAAGAAGTTGAAGTGCTTACTAAGGTAAACCAACATTACCAGATTTTTCCAATGTCATTTACAACAATTGAAAATCTAATATCCAGTTAGAAATTCAGCTGTTGATGGATATTTTATTTCAGATTATTCAAAATACCTTTTTATAATTGTTCCATTTGCATGTTTATTGTTCTCTAATTTCTGTATAATAAAAGATAGAGAACCTTTAGAAATAATATAATTACAGTTCTTTGTATAAAGTTATAACAGAAAGAATGACAATATATTTTGCTGTGCTAAACGGTGATATAGAAAATTACACATTAGAACATTTTAAAAGTTAATATTATTTTTTTAGGAAACTGATTTCCTTTGTCTTCATGAAGATAAGTACACTGTTGAAAATGAAGATAATGCATTATATGATCACAACAAAGAAAGTGAACATTCATTGTCTGATGCAGAATCAAAGCTCCGTGAAAATGAACTCTTAAAATATTTAAGAGACCCCATACAAAATGAAGAAAGAACTGAATCAGTTTCTGAAAATGACTCAGAGGAATCTCACATTCAGGAGCCTGTAAACAAAAAGTTGGTTAGAAAAGATGATACTCAAGAGCCACAAATGCAAAACAGTCTCCCAGCAGAACCTGTTCAAACTCAGTCTAGTTGGATTTCAGGATGGTTCACCACAGAAAGTGAAAAGGATGAAGAGCCCTTAAAAGTTGTTACTGAATCTTCAGAAACTAATAAATACCAAGACAGAAAAACAGAGGTAGCAGCTGAAAATGATTTACAGGAGCCAAAGGATAAAGAGGAACAAGAACCCCCTGCATCTGGCTGGTTTCAAGGTGGACTGACAAACTTCCTGTATTTTGGTGAAGAAAATGATGTTCATTTGGCATTAGAAAAAAATGATCCACAAAACTATGATGTCTCTGGTGTGCCTGAGCATTCTAGTACTGAACAGGGAGCAACAGTCACTGAGGCATTGTCAGAAGAAACGAGTGGAAGCCAAGAATCTGAATCAAATTGGTTTAATTTGGGTTTAAGTGATGTTCTTAATTTTGGCCATGCTGAGGAAGTTACAACTTCTACAGAGGACCAGAGAAGCAAAGAAACAATGGATCAAGCAAATAAGAATGATGAAGAGCAGACTTTAGACCAGAAAGGATTACACATGGACAAAGAATCAGAGGAAACAGTTAATGCACTGACAGATGAGGAAGATGAGAATGATGCACAAGAAATAACAGATTCAGACAGTAACAGGGCAAATCCTGGGGAGATACCAGCAAGTGCACATGCTCATAATGACACCAAAAACACCTCAAGTAGAACAGAATCTTCTTTTGATATACTAACATGTGACAAAGAGAAGCCAATTGAACCTTACAGCTCAGAAGAAGACTTGGTATCAGAAAGCCAACTGCTGAGAAACACTGAAGCTGAAAAGAAAAATCAGGAGTCAGAACACAGACATGGCCAATCAGGTTGGTATACAAATGTCTATAATAGCTTTTTTAATTATAATATGGACAAACATGATAATCAACAGGAACATAAATCAATTGCATCAAATTTCTTTTTCTCATGACCCCTTCTGAACTGTGATTCCTCAGACATAAAAAATACAGGAGAAAAGCCTGAAATATCTGAAGAATAAAGCCATTGCTTCTCTTTTAGTCATTCTGCAGACATAGTAAAGTTTCCCAGTTCAACAACCAAAGAAGGACAAATGCAACCTTATGAGGAACTACCAGGAACTGCAAATAATCATCTGGGCATCAAGAAGACCTCAAGTGACAGTGGAACTGAGTCTTAGTCTGGAAACACCCAAGAAAGACAAACTATTCAAAGGTTATGGTGCAGAAAAAAAATTAAGCATCCAAAAGCCATTTCTAAATGGATAGTACTACAAAAGATTAAACTCACAAATCAGAGAATAAAAGTGTCTCACAGAGTTTTTATGAAAACAACATCAAATATTTCAGTCAGGACATTTTTAATGATGAACATCATCAGAAATCTGGGGAGGCCCAAGAACTGACTCCAGACAAACCTTTCTTTCCTCACCTCTCATTGAGTGGCCTCAGTTTAACAGGTACCAAAACTTCCAAAGAAACTGACCATTTGGAAGAATATGGAGTTTCAGAATGGAAGGTAAAAACTGCTAGCTGAGAAGAACTAAGCTTCCATTAAAAAGAAAGCCCTTGGTAAACCTTGATAAAATACCACAGGGAAAAGAAACTGAAGGCACTTCAAGTCACAAGGTTAAACATAGTGTATCACGTAACAGTAATGCAAATGCCTCCAAAGAGAATGATCTTTCCTCGTCAGCTGGCAGTGCAAAGTAACAAACAGGGAAGCAGAGAAAACACTGCAACAAAATCTACCAAATGAGTAGAAGATTGGACAACTCTTGATACTTTTGCTTATAGCTTGTCAAAGAGAAGCAATAAACTGAAAAAATTCCTATAAATGTGCAACATCACCAGGAAGGTGGAAGAGTACTAAAACAAGAAGATTCATGTTCCCAGCATCAGTTTCTGGTACCAGAGAGTGGACAGTCTTAATCTAGATCTCAGAAAGAAATATAAAAATCATCTGTGATATAGTAAAACCAAATATTAATCTGCATCCTCAGATTTAGGCCTATCAATTCAAACTACCATGACAGTGCAAGATACAAAAGCATAGAAAATTAAACTGAGTTTTGAAAGACATACTACTTCAAAATACAAAATAATACCAGTGTTCAGCTGAATTACTGTCCAAAAAAGTATTTATAAAGAAAATCTATTAAGAATAAAAGCAACAGTCATGTGATATGATTCTGACCAAGTATAAAATTTTACCCTTGCAGCTCTCTAAAACAGAAGAATTGGCAACCTGATTGCTCATAAACATGGCTGATAGAGTAGATGTTGAAAAAGAAGATACCATTGTAACTGAAAGGATGAATAATGCTGAACAAAAAATTGCTGCTACTAAAATTAGTTAGGAGAAGAAAAAAATAAAGATTCTGAAAATAAGAGTCAAAATCCAGAAATACAAATAATAGCAATTATATTCTAGCAAAAAAAGATTTCAGCAGTATTTTTACCAGACCATCAGGGTTCTTTGCAAATATATTCAGTAAAACTAACAATTAATTCTGTCAGATTAATTCTGTCAAAACAAGCCTAAACATATGTTTAGTGAAAAAACCCACATGAAAATAGAAGTGACATTAGGACTAGTACACTTGAATACTGCACAGAAGAATGAGACGAACGTGAAAGGAATCTGAACAATGTAAGATAGTATTAAATATAGCAAAGGTGCAGAAAAAACCAAAACCAGGAAAATATTGTATGGTAAACAGATTTACCAAACCCATTCATTACATTTCAACAACTTCATTTCAATTAAAACAAGTTGTTAAGCAACCCTTAGAGTATCTCTGTGATGGAAGCAAACTGCTGCAGCAGCATCAGCAATTTGAAAGATTCACCGTGAAATCACAGCTTACTCAACTAAAGATAATGCTATGTGGAGGGAACAGGTCATTGTATCTGCACAAAAGGGGCACAATTTGGACACTGAGCAGGGAAAATATACAGGAAAAAGGAATGTTCTTCTAGAGCTGCCAGAGCTTTTGTCTGCTATAACAATTAAGTGTGCTGCCCAAACTGCAGCTAAAGTTACTAGAGCAATGTTTCACTAACAGAGATTTAGCAAGAACAAAATATCCTTTGTTTGCAGAAATAAACCCCACAACAGATACAACACCGTCTCCTTCTGGTGATTTAAAATGAGGAGGCAGTGAGTCTAACTCATACCAGTTAATGACTTATTTATGATATTTCAAGGATCTGATAATACAAGTTGAGTTAATATAATGGTAACAGCTTTAAGAGCAAATTACTCCTCTTGAACTACTGGACTACTTCTGATATGTATCTTTGGCCAGCACTGTCTTGAAGCATATGATTAAATGAAATAATTTGTAACTTTTTTTTCTTTGTGGGTAAGCTCTGTGCAGGTTCTTTTGCAAGCATTTTGCAAGTATTTCATTGGCTTCAAGCAATGACTCCAAGTCCCTAAAACTGAGGCAGCCAGGTGCCTTCAGCCATACTTCTGCATGAACATGCCTGTGGTTTCTTGTATTTTGCAAGGAAGCTTGATATCTTGTGGGAATTTGTTAATCTTTAACCCTAAATGGCATTTTTAACTGTTCTCCCTCTAAAGATTACCTCACTTGTATTTGGATGTAAGAAAGAGATGTACTAATCCTGACCAGGGAATCTACAAACCAACTATCAAAACAAAACATATTTTTTCCTGAACACTGATTTTTAATTATTATACTACAATGTAAGTTTTGCTTAAAGCTCGGTCCTTCAAATTCTGAGATCATTATTTGTATATTGTTTTTTAAATCATAAATCTGTAGCACATTTACTCTAATTTTATACTCTAGTGTTGAGCTTTGAGGAAAATAAAAATTAAAAAAAATAAAATCTCTGTAGAGGTTAATATCTTATAGGAGTAAGTTGAATCCTCCAAAAATAACCATTATTTCCCCTCACAATTATGTGCAGGAGTAGGCAGAAGAAAGCTACTAGAAGAAACACCAGAGAAGGAGCATGAAATGTATGTAGCTGTAAACAGTGAACATAACAGTGACCAAGATTCAAAAGCAACAGCCATTGCTTCAGTAAATTCTGAAACAAAAATGGACAGTTCAGGAACTGACTCAGAAGTTGATGTCAAAAATTCTTTCTCTGATGCCATCCAGAACTATGTTCCAAGTAATGGTAAGTGCTAAGTCTCTTAATTTTAAGGAAAATAAATATGTAATCTTAAAAAAAAAAAAAAAGGCAAAACAAAAAACAACAAAACCAGCTGGAATTATATGAATTATATGAAGCTGACATATTGTAATGTATTGAAATTGACAATAGTAATGTAAAACCTCTTGTTTTATTCCTTATGATCAAACCAGAAGGAGGCTGGATATATCAGATACTTCTGTGCTTGAATGGTCTTGAGATCAGAGAAACAATAAAATCTGCATCGTCAGCAGTGAAGATTATCATCAAATCGGTAAGAATTCTTTCTGTGATATAACATTGACATTAATGCAAATTTAAGCCAGCTACAAGTTATGTTCTGCAATGAAACTCCTAGGAAAAAAAAAAAAAAGAGAGAGAGGGAGAAAATCCTTTTAAATAAACCCTCTGCAGTTCCCAGCATTCTGGGTTATCTGATGCCAAATGAGACAGAACACAAGAAAATTTTTAGGTCAGGTGCTCATCATCTGCCTCTTTGCAGTGCAGAATCTGAAGAGCTTAGGATGTGAGGATCTGGAGTTTTGTTTTGTGGGTTTTTTTAACATCCAGGAAACACCTGTGTGGTGTTTTCAAATTTTTGTTTGTTTTTTTCTTTATTTTTAATTTTAAAATGAAATTAATACCTCCCTCTAGTTCTCAGAACAGTACTCATTAAATTTGCTTGGACTTAAAAAACTTGGGTTATGATGAGTAAAATAACCAGACAAGTTACCTTGTTTTTAAAGAGTATTTTCAAAGCCTTGACTGACAAATCCTCCCCTCGTTCATAATTGCCTTAAATATACTTTTCTAAGCAAATATATAAAATAGAAAATGGGATTATTATTGCTGTGGGGGTTTCTTAAATATGAAAATGTAGTGCAGAGTGAAGGTGAACCTTAAGGGGCACAACTGCACAAGAAACACGCTGCCAGAGCAGCGTGAGAAGAGGTAGATGTTGCTGCACTGTCTCCTCTAAATAAAAGAGTAGTGGCAGGTAAAGTGCCATATGGTAAACTTCACTTCGGTGCTTTGGTTGAGCTTTGTTTAGATTGGGTAATTGAAGTTTAAGAACCACATAAATTTATTCCTGATTTCCAGTGTACGTATATAGAATATGGAGAAATTGTAGTTTAAGAAGACGAAAACTCAGGGGCTTTATCCGTCGTGACCGCCTGCAGCCCACTGACAGCTCACTGCTTCGGCCAAACTCATTCTTGTACTGTTTGATAGAGCTAAAAAAGGCTCTTCCACCTATCCTGGTCCCTCAGGTGCTTTGCAGGCAAGTCACTCACCTTGCGCTGTGAAAAGTCGTTAGCACACGTTAAAAAACAAAACCAACCAAACCAAATTAGCCTTAATCGTAGTGAATGAAACGAAGAATCTTTTGCTATGTGGTATTGCGCCTTCCCTTACATCTGGTATGAGCAGCCCGGCAGGATCATTTTTAGCACAGGCACTTGCCAGAGCTCGGGCCCGCCCAGCCCTGCGCAGCCGGGACCCACCTGCGGCCGGGCCCGGCCCTCCGTGCCCCGCCGGGCCGGGANCTACTGCGGGCTGGCCGGGGAAGGGCTGCGCTGGGTGAGTGCCGGAGGGACGCGGGGCTCGGCGCAGCCCCTGCGAGGGCCGGGGTCTTGTGCAGCGCTGCTGCTGAGGGGCTCGGGCAGGGGGAGATCGAAATTAAGACTTAGCTGCCTCGTACCGTGTTCTTAAGCACGGATCGCATGCAGTGAATTTGAGCTTCATGAAGCATGTCGTATCTTTGAGCAAATAGATTCGTTTACAAATGAAATGTGAGTGTATCGAAGTGTTCAAAATGTGTTAAATCACTGGTGTGTTCCGTATATTATTTTAGTATGAGGTTGGTTGAACAGGTTTTCTTACCAAACAAGTTTTCTACCAGACAATCAAGAAGTACTTACTACTGTTGATTCTTCCAGCAGTGAAACGTGTGGGACAACTCAGAGAAGAATTTTCCACAGTAAATTCTCAGTACCTAAAGAGGCCAACAGAAAGGCTGGAGAGGCACTTTATACAAGGGCATGTAGTGATAGGATAAGGGGGAATGGCTTTAAACGAAGAGGATAAGTTTAGGTTAGATAAGAGAATGAAGTTCTTTACTGTGGGGGTGATGAAGCACTGGAGCAAGTTGTCCAGAGAAGCTGTAGATGCCCCATCTCTGGGAGTGTTCAAGGGCAGGCTGGATGGGGCTTTGGGGAAGTAGGTCCAGTGGAAAGTGTTCTTGCTAATAGCAGAGGGATTGAAACTAGATGATCTTTTACATCCCTTTCAACTCAAATCATTCTGTGATTCTGTGATACTTGGTAGTGTCAGAAAGGAAAGGTTTCAGAGCTTTATCTGTTGATTTTCATATCTTGTTGGAACTTTCTATCATTTAAAGATCAAATGCTTCTGTTAACCATTTTTTTTCAAGAGTTCTGGAAAAAAAACAGATTTACAAGCCTTGGAAGTAAACAATCTCAACATGTAATGTCTGTTGCTGTGGATAATATTAACCTCTTTTCCTTTAGCTGAAGCTTTTTTCTTAACTTTTCAGGCTGTGGCTTCACTGCCTGAAGATATGAGACCAGGCCCTGATCTGTATGGTTTCCCATGGGAAATTCGCTCCCTCTGTCACGCTGGAATGAGGGAGAGAATCAGAGGACTAAAAGCTAGAAAACTCGTGGGTTGAGGCGAAGGCAGTTTAACAGGGAAAGCAAAAGTGGTGCATGCAACAAAATAAAACAGGGAATTCACTGCTTCCCATGGACAGGCAGGTGTTCAGCTGTCTCCAAGAAAGCAGGGCTCCATCACATGTAGCAGTTACTCTAGAAGACAAACTCCATCACTCCAAACAACCCCCTGCTTCCTCCTCCTTCCCCTTAGCTTTATGTGTTGAGCATGATGTCAATGTGGTGTGGGTTATCCCTCTGGTCAGTTGAGGTCAGCTGTACTGTGTCCCCTCACAGCTTTTTCTGAACCTGCAGCGTCCTTGTGGGTGAGATGGGGTGAGAAGCAGAAGAGGTCTTGACTCTGTGTGAACACTGCTCAGCAATAACTAAAACATCCATGTGTTTTCAGTGCTTTTCAGCACAAATCCAAAATATAGCCCCATACCAGCTACTGTGAAGAAAATTATCCCAGACAAAGCCAGCACAGGAAGTGCTGAAGTTACTTGCAGAAATGTGGAGTGCATTAATAGTTTGCATTGAAGTTGTTATCCTTCCTGTTCAATATATATAATGCTTCAGAGTTTTAAATCTATTGTGATTGAATTTGGAATCCCTCTAAAAGAGAAATTGAAAAGTCTATTTTGTCAAGATAATAAGTGTTTGGACATGTTGTGAGTGACTGTTGTAAGAGGAAATGCAGTGGAACTTGCTGTAGTAAGACTGCTTTTTTCTTTTTAAGTTCTCCTCTGGACTTCCAAAGACAGCCCTTAAATTATTTTCACAGGGCACAGATGTCTTTCCCAGGGTGTATTGATACATCTGTGACTAGCCTGGCCATAGCCAGAGCAGCTCAGGTCTTTTAAGGTAATTGTAGGCAAAAGCAATCCACATGGTTTCCTGTCAAGGGAGGCATTTTAAAACTGTTTGGACAGTGATGCCTGGATTGTGTTTATTGCGACACTGGAACACTGAACCAGTTTAACTGTGTGTTCTTTGTGGGCACTAATCTGCTGACTTTGAGAATTGCAGTACTGAAACCTTGTAATGCACAAATCAGATTATATTTTTGAGGTAATGCCTGTCTGCTTTTGAGAGTAAGTAAAGATCTGAGTAATAACAGTTGCCTACTATAGTTTCCCTGCTATGGAAATGGGGTCAGTATCTGTAATTCAGTATTCTAAATTTCTTCCCATTTTTCACATACTCCCCTACAGACGATGTGATTTTGGTAGTAGGTGTAATGGTACTCATGTTTTAAGACTGGTTGCATAGCTGTTTAGTTTTTCAGATATCAGCACCTGCATTTTTAGGGTTTTAACATCAGCTAACCTTGTCTGTAAGGGGATCTGTGTTTGTGTAAGTTAATGTAACTATAATTTGGTCATACCTTTTGTTCTCTAGAGGCATCCCTCCAGGTGATACAAAAGGCATTTGAACTGAAATCATGCAAGCAGCTAACCTGGTACTGTTTTCCTCCTGCACATGTCACTTAAGCCATGAGATACTACAGAAGCTACTGACAGCTTTTTCAGTCATGCATATTTAGAACTGGACTGACTGCTCCTTGAAGAATTGATGGTTACTAAAAAGTAATGGAGTAACTAAACATCCATTGGGGATGATAGGATAAAATTATACTGACAACTTTCTTACCTGTTTTTCATCATTTGAACTTCTTGGCTTTAAATGAGGAGGAAACGGAAGAACTGAGGGGCCCATTGTTACGTTAGGCACATGACCCAGGCCCAGCCATGAGAGAAATGCTGTGTTGTAACAGTTTTGTGGGTTCAGCCAAGTTCTGCATCTCTCATACAGGCTATTTGTGACAGATTTTGCCCTGTAGTGTGTTAGATTTTGATTGTAGGGCACTAGACTCCATGTGGCAGCTGCTCATTTGGCACTTGAAGGATGCCCATCAGGTAGTACCTTACTGCAGCTTTAACTGTTGTGTGTTGTAATGTGTGGGAGATCTTTCCCAATAGGAAATCTGAGCTCATGTGTGGAGCTTCCCCCTCCCTTCTCTTTCCTGCTCTTCTGTGTGTGTCCACTATGGAGCTTTGTGTAGGCAGTTGTGGTTATGTGATAAATACACAGATGTGTGTTATTAAAGGGATGCAGGTGAAAACTAATCTCCTTTCCACTCCTTGGTCTGATAAGAGTGGGAGAAGGACAGGGCAAACAGACATGCAGGGGGGAAGAGCAGAGGACATGATTACTTGTTTTTAATAGAAGCCTGTATTTATATTCCTTTTTTAAGTTCCATGCTTAAACTTGGCATGGAATTGCAGCTTAAAAGATTAGTTTTCAGATACTGTGTGAGAGTAATTGATCAGACATTTTCAGTATTTATTCTCTTATTTTTCAGGTTAGAAGTCGACTTTATGTAGGTAAGCTTATTTTTGATACTTCATTTTTTATATTCCTTCGGAGTATGGCTTTATTCTTTTTTTCACCTTTAATTACTTGGATGATGCAACATTTGCTTGTGTTTCACTTTTTAGGAAGGGAAAAACAGCTTGCCAATAAAATTACAGAACTAGTTGAAGAAAAATGCAAAATTCTTCAAAAACTCAGCCTGTGCAAAAAAGAGGTAACGGTCCTCATTTATTGCTTTCAGATGTGTCATAGAAATGGATTCAATCAAGTGAAGTACTAACTTTTCTGGAAGTAAGATGTTTTAAAGCTTTCAAAGGGATTCTTCAAATGCTTTTTTCTGTCAGTGCCTTTAAGAGCAATTAAGGCGTTAGCAAGTTCTGCCTTTAAACTCTCAATACAATGTATTTCACTGGAAGCAACTTCAGAATTTTTTTGTTTGTTTGTTTTGGTTTACATCTCTGGGATGATCTAGTAGGGTTAAGGCTTTCCTGATTTCCAGCAAGGTGAATTTGTGAATATTTAGGTAATGTCTATGTCTATGTTTTGCAAATTAATGCTAGTATTTAATCAATTATTTACCCATACTCTGACATAAAGTAATTCCTTTTCAGTTTGAAGATTTACAGTTGTCTCTGAAGGATGGTAACACTATGAAAGAATCAACAGACGCATCTTTTTTTGAGGTAAAAAGATTAATGGAAATTGTTATTTCTACAATATAAGGCAGTATTTTAGGAAAATGTGGCCCATATTAAAAAATACCCAAACAAACTAAATAAAAACAAGAACAAATGGCATATTGGACAGTATTTTGGACAGTATTTAATTTTTAGAAGTAAATTGTTCCCATTTCTAGGAGAGTGGGTAGTGCATGAAGCATTTTTTTCTCACATCTGATCTAAGTAAAATGCTTTCTATGGGCTACAGGTGCATAGTTTTAAAGAAAAATTACCACTACATTGTTTACATCCCCCAAACTTAGAATATATTTATGAAAGACTTCTGGCTAAGTGACTCAAATACCTCATGAGCTCTATAAAATTATTGTAAAATAAAGCAAGCAGGTTTATTTCATTTTGCACCTCAGACCCTATAGAGCTAATTCTTACAGCTTTGTTCATGAAGGATAGAGTATTTGGGTGAAAAATACTTCGCTGTCATATTTAAAATATACTTGTTTTCTTCATATGTAATTAATATCAAATGTTTTATTAACTCACAAACCACCTTGATTTAGGACATGCATGAAAAACTGAACAAATCAAACTTGAAACTCAGCAAAGAAATAGAGAATCTAGAAAAAGAACTGGAAGAAGAAAAATCTAAGCAGCTGGAAAACGATACCTTGGTAAGAATAAATAGAATCCTGTCTCTGTTTCTGTTAATTTAAAAAAAAAGTTCTCACAGAAAAAAATCTCTTCAGAGAAGACAAACTATTTTCTTTGTGTGTTCTGAAATAAAAACTATATGTTTCATTTTGTCTTCCCTGTAACATTAGAAAAATGATAAAGGAAAATATTCAAAAGAAGAATGTTTTTACACATATTTTTACTGATTCAGCAGTAGAACTTTCTCAGTTTGAAAATAAAAATTATTTTACTAATTGCCTAGACATTGTCAGTCAAATATGTGAAAGAAGCTGTATGACAACAAATAATTTTCAGGTGGCTGAAATTCAGGAGAAAGTGGAGTCTTTAGAGAATGAAGAAAAATCTATCCAGTCACAAATTGATGAGGTATGTCTAACCTTTATAGTTTCTGTTTTCAAATCTTTGCATTTTCTCTATTCCCCATGTAGTTACTGTTTTAATTTTTATTTCTATTAAGGGTGCAGAGATCATATGCTTTGTAAACCAAAAGACTTTGTAAGGCTTAGTACTTTGGTGTGGCTTGATTGAGCAGCTTTTAATTCCATATAGTGATTGGCATTTATTGAGAAGTAGTTACCTTGTCTTTTCTTTGCTTTCTTACTCCTCAATGATATATAGTATTGCAAAACTACAGTCAGCAAAAGCTGTTGAAATTGTAGAGAAAATGTGAGAATATGCATATTTCACAGCCAGAAAACCTAAGGCAAGTCCAGTAGTAACCATCATGACTCCACCTGTATCTTCACCAATGCCATTTAAACAACAGGCTTTTTAATTTCACTTAGGCCAAGTCCACCCTAAAAGTGTATCAGATTAATACTGAGAGACTCAAGACATCTGTTCAAGATGCAGTAGATGAAAACAGCCATCTCCAGGAAAGTGAGAAACAGGTAGGTGCTTCCTAGTTATCTTTAGAAATACTGAGTTTTCCTATGATACTAATAACTGATTTCTCCAACGAGCTCATCCTCAACAAGTATGTTAATACCTCATGTGTGTTTAGTAAATGGAATGAGAAAGAGAACATGTTTTTTAAAATAATTTTATGTTGGAGTAATTTTGTCTAAAATAATCCTGTTTTAAAAGAAATGCAGTAGTTACAGTTTGTGGGAAATCATGCATGGAGTTTAGCTGAAGGAAGAGCATGTGGTAATGTAAGCTTTGCTGAGACCTGGAGGAAAGCAGAAATATCTGAACAAGACCACAGCTAGGATTCTCTCCAGAAGCAGAAAGAAAATTCTTTTACTTGATCTAGAAAACCAAAGAAATTGAGGAATGGCAGAGTATTCAGAAGGCAGGTGAAAAAATGTACTCTAGTACCACTGTAGATGTAGTCATTGAAAGTCAGATATGTAACAGGAACAGAAAAGACTGTTACTTCCCAAATTTTAGTTGTCTGTTTCCCTCAGTGCTGTAGCCAGATCACAAAAAAACACTGAGTATTTTGAAATATTTAGCATGTGCAGCAGTCATCCTGTGCAATAGGTTGCTTTACAGTGAAGCTATTTCTTTTTTTCTAGCAAATAGATATTTTCTATGAAGGTTTAATGTTCTGTGTAATGTTGGTTTGAGGTGGTTTGTTGTGGTTTTATTGGATATTTGCTTATTTTCCTGACTGACTGATGATCCCCCTGTTGTCTGAGGAATAATCTGATAGGTATTTGCAGTGGGGAAGAAGTAGTGGGAATGGAAGTACAGGCCTATTGCTTTTTAGCAGTCTTATAAAAAGCTGGGGAGTGCTTCACTCCTCTCTGTTAACACATGTGTATGTCAAACTTAGTGCTTCAAGAAAAAGAAAGGGATACTGGAAATAAAATTGTTTTTGCAGGAGGAATATTTCAGTACTGCACAACTCTATTAGTAAAATTAGATCTTTTTCCCTAATTCTAGAAGGAGTTCATGTTTGTGATTTCCAAAAAAGTTGTGATTTCCACCCATTAAGAGCTGTGAGTGGAGAAGCAGTGGATTTGACTGTTACCATTGTGATACACACTTATGTTTATAAATTAATTATTAAAAGTAATTAATTAATTTTATTAATTATAAATTATATTGATTATTATAATGTGTTTTGTCTGTCTTTCAAGAGTTCTTTCTATACTAATCTCTACATCTTCGTTTTTGTGAGGAGGAAGGGTCTGGTCGCAGTGCTTTATTTCAAATGTGACAATATTGTTATGTAATAAATTTTGAGAAGCAATACATGAAGTTTTAATAGAGAGGAATTTTCCTTTTTTACCCCCTGTGGTCATTTATTGGATTCAGACAGAAATAATCCAATTATTTGTATGTGTGACAAAAATCTTCATTTTCTGTCCTTTATAATAAAGTAAAAAAATACTACTTAGAGAAGGAGAATACTAATAAGTGCTGGAAATTGCCTGTAATTCTTAGGCAATCATTTTATATCAAGGAAAACCATTATACCAAGTTAAAAAATCAGCAAAAGCAATTTCCAGGGTTTAATTGCCATGTTCCTAGATGAAAAAAAAAATTCCTTTTTTCTTCAACCTGAGTATAAGTATAGCCTTAACCACATTGTTTAGGACTAATTACTATACTTTGTTGTTAACTGAGGCTTGTTGCAGTTTTTAGTAGTTTGAGAACATTTGTGCATATTGTAGTTTGCTGTGCTTTTTAGTAGATAAAAATCCTAATGTTATTTGTGGCTGGACCCTGATAAGTAAAAAAGAGAAAATGTCTGCCTTACTTATGTTTTCATTTCTGAGGTGCTTTCTAAGTGTGAGAGTTAGTTTACTATATCAGAATATCTATATCCTTCTTTTGTTTTTCTTACTTTTTTTTTAAAAGACGGAATTTCAGGTATGCTCAAAAATAACAAACGTGTTATTTGCTCACAGAAAGTGAAGTCCTTTCTTCCTCTGTCCATTTGCACAAATGGGTCATAATCTTCTGGCATATCATAACTTAAATTTTATAAGAGATGTGCTTTTTCAGGTTTGTGATGTGTCAGAGAGAGGGGATTTGGCCTTTTAGGTTGAACAAGGGAACTGTTAATGAGCTTCTATGTTTTGCTGTTTTTTTAGTTTGGTTTTTTTCTTCTTCAAGAGCATTAGGAATATATATTGCTTTAGCTCATTGCAAATCCCTGCTTTTTCTCTTTATTGTAATTCTTACAGGTGTATAAAGTCATGCAAAATTATTTTCTCTTTGGCTTCATGAAGAAGGGATCTCTTAAAAGTCATCTTTCTTGATGACAATTAATGATAAAAATAGTTGTCTGTGTATGTCTTCTAATCCCTAATATGTTACTTGAATGATGCTGCAAATAAATACATAGCTTTTATTGCTTGGAAAGTGCAATTGTGTGCCAAGGGGCACTGTGTGTTAATTCAGTTCTAGTCACATACCTTCTGCTCTGTGCCTTTTAGTTTATCTTTGATAAGTAGCATTCAGGTTTGTTTGTCTATTTGCATGGCAGCTCTCCTGTTTAATGTCCGTTTTCTGGTTTTATTTGTAGTGTAACTACCTGTTATGTTCTCATTGCTCAACGTAGTTGTTCTTTTCTATACATTCAGTGTTCTTAAATTGCCTGTTGTGCAACTTTGGGCAATATTTTTTGACAGTCTCCTAGGACAGTTTGTTTGTACTTTACCCCATGTTGTTGTAGCACTAGTTTTGTCTTAACAGAAATTTGCACCCGTTCAATTTTGTTCTCACAATGTAATTAGTTTTTATGTTGCAGTGGTTATTTTTAATAGCTGATGATGAAATGTTCTAATCCCTTTATTCCTGTACAATATTTTTGTGAAATGAGATTTTACTAGGGAATATCTCTAAAATGTAACCTTGGAACCTACTTATCATTTTAGTTAAGCACAGTTAATTGCAGAGATACATACTAGTAGGTCTTGATTATATACAGCTGTGACTATCATTAATGGGGAAGCTTTTTTAAAATAAAATTTTTAGGTTACTTCAAAAGGTATGGAGGAGGAGAAATAGTACAGTTTTGGAAGTTACATGAATATAAATAACTGCCTAAAAGCTTCCTGTTTTCCCTTACTTCTCTGACTGCTTCTAAGTTCAAAAGAACAGGCACCATTTCAGAAATGTGTGTGCATATTGAAGTGTGAGTGTTTTCCATGCATTCCCCACTGTATGCCACTCTTACTGAAATTATCACTATTTTATATTCATTGCTATTGTCACATCAAGGTTTTTTAAACTTCAGTGGAATAAGCCAAACACTTCCTATAAATGCTTAAAAATATCCTAACAGCTAATTACAGTTAGTTAATTAGCTATAGCAGCTAAAGCAACTGAGCTATAACATAAGTCTTAATTTTCAACTCTTCAGGTAACTTTCTTGCAGTCTTATCTCTGTTAATTCTTACTGGTGGGTGAGAGATTTAAATCCCGCTTATATGTGTTTGTATATCTTCTATTTGTATAGCCAATGCATGTAAGAGGCTCAGTACTATTCATCCTTGAGTCTTGGTTTTGTAGACATTCACACTAACCTGGTGTGTCCCTTTTTAGCTTTTACAAGAAGCTGAAGGATGGGGCGAACGACTTAGTGAACTAAATGAACAAACAAAGATGTTCGAATCATCTAAAACAGATGTAGAAGAAGTTCTGAAAAACAAAGAGAGCCAAATCAAGGTATATTATGACATTTAGGATTGAATCAAATTATTCAGACTGATGCTAAACATAGTGTTCCAAGAAAGCCTGACAATCTCTCCTTGTCTTAATATGCCTTACGCTGTTTTGGGCTTTTGTTTGCTGTCTGTATTGTATAAAGTTGTGTTTCTGGCTAAGTGAAAAAAAGGTTGCTTAGTGGCACAGTGGAGCAGTCTGATTAAGACAGCTAAGGAAAAACTTCTAGTTCTGATAGGGTGTTGGCTTTCCCACCTGTCCTCAGTTTGGAGTGTGAACATGGTTGTGTATTTTTATAGCTGTGTACCTTACATACACAAACCTCACTAAAAGCATGCATGCTTAGAACTATCTAAAAATTCTTCATAGGGATGTGCCTGCTGACCTGCAAATAGATGCTTTGCTAGAAAAAATATTATCAGATATCTAGAATCTTGTATGTGGGGCTGACTTAATCTGCTAAGGGAACTAAATAAAGGATAACTGCATTTTCATTGCTTGTATTTGTGAGGTTTCTGTGTGCTTTTTCTTAGTCGCTGACACAGTACATACTGAACATGAAAGACTGGAGCTCAGCAATACGAGAAGATGGTGATGTTGAAGACAGCCACTGGGACACAGACATAAAGGGTGAAACAGAGAATGGAGAGCACTTAGGTATGGTTTGTGTAGTTTCCCTATTTAAACATTTCACAGGTATTTTAGAAATACAGGAGTGACTAACTTCCAGGAAAGTTGAAAGATTAGTTTTATAGAAGTTGGATTTTTAAACCTCACCCAGTGTCATTCATGTTGGACAGTTAACTGATGCTTGGACATCTCTGGAATAGCAGCCTGTCTCCTGCACAGCACTGTGTGGCACACAGACTGTCACAGAGCAATGTAAAGACTCAGTGGTCAGTCTCTTGCAGAATTCTGCAGTATGTGCCTGTGTGACTCTGTGGCATTTCTAGGTGGAAATCTTGCTTTTATTTCTTCTTCAAGCTCCTCCAAGCAGTAGTACTGAGGGTCCTTAAAGCCTAATTGCTGCTTCCTTGTCCTTAGAGAGGTGTTACTTGTTGCAGGCAGTGTGGTAGCACTGTCACCTAATGGGTGTAGATGTATGTCCCCTTAAAACAGCAGCACAGAAAATCCCTTCTTCCTCTTATTTCTTGCTGCAGCTTTTTGTGCTGTAGGGCACATGCCCGAGAGTTTTACAGTGTGTATTCAGCATCTCACTTTTAATGTGACCAGTCTTAGTCATGATTGACTGGCAAACAAAGCACTACAATATTGTATTGGAATATGAATGAAATGAAATATGCATATGAAATATTGGCATATCTTCTACTCACACCACTACTTATGCTATTTTTGCTCCTTTATCCTCCATGTATGCTGTGCCTGTTGTGGTATGTTGGCATTGCTCTTGTATAAAAACCAAATAATAGCAGTGAGCTTTGTCACAAACCCTTTCATGCTTTTTATATGACTTATTGTTCTGTTCCTTCAAGCAGATGATGAACAAAAACGAACTGTAAAGAAATTGATATATGCTGCAAAGGTACGTAATTTTAAGAAACTTGTGGGTGGAAGAGAGAAAAGTAGAGGGTATATATGTAATTATTCTGGTAATACCAGTATCAGAGTTCAGCATCTTTTAATGTTTAATTACATATTTTTGCATGCAAACACTTTCTTAATCTGGTAGTCTTATCATGTTCTCTTTTTTTTTTTTTTTTCAATTTTGATTTTAGCTAAATGCTTGTTTAAAAACCATGGAAGCAGAAAGAGACCAAATGTATTCAAAACTGTCTGATGAAAATAAAGCTAAAGGAGAGCTTACAGGTAATTAAATCTAGTTTTGCCTTTAATAAGACGCTTTGGTAAAATGGTGTTACAGGCTGCAAGTATTAATTCCAGTAAAAACTGAATTAAGTTTACATTAATAACTACTTGGTTTTTAAAATTAATGTTTCAGTTGCTTAGTTATTTTAAATACATGATTTTAGATGTAGAGCAGTCAAAGTTGCAAATTTGGTTGTACTCTGTTACAATATTCTGTAACTATTAAGTTATAGAATCTTAAAATACAACAGCAAAGTGATGTTAATAAATATATAATATTTCCTTTACATAATTTCTGGACATGAAACAGTGTAGTTTTAATCTAAATTTTAAAGCTATTAAGATGGTAGTTTAATTATAGTTAGTTTGTAATGGGTGCAAGCTCAGTCTTTAAAGTAATAAATACTGCTTTTAGAGAATTGAACTTGCAAACATCTTGCTCTCTTTCTTTTCCTTTGTTGTGTGGGACATACTGAATTAAACCTTATGAAATGAGAACCACTCAAATTCAAACTAAAACTTGTAATAAGCTATTGCTTTCATAATCATAGCCAGCAGAATAGCATTCACTTATGGATGTATGGCTTTATTCTTTGGGTGGTGAATGCTGTCAGACTGTTTTTAAGTTTCTTACAGTCCTTCAAACATATTCCTTGTGCAGGTAAGTTCTCAAAATTGACTGTAGCTCTGTCCCATAAAGATACTTAAACTTAGTTGAAGCTTTGTTATATTTCTTGAAAAGAGGCACAGGAATAGTAAATAGGAAAAGAAACATGACTTTGAGTTCAATTTGGAAAGATGAGGGTAGTTTGACACATCTGAGTTACCTATTCAGGCGATTGAGGAAGACCTAGTGTGGGTAAATCTGCAAGAACATGTGATGGTGCTAGTTTTACTCCTTCAGTCAAATAATTACAATAAGAAGAGCTCTAAATGAAAATTTAGATTCTGAATTACAAAACTGAGCTGTTTTCAAAGGAGTGACATGGTTTAGAGCAAAGGCCTGGTACACGCACAGGGCTGCACTTTGTGGCAGGTAGAGGGTGTGGTTGCTGGTTTCTCATTTTGTGTCATATAGTGAAATATATTAACTTTATAACTTGCGCTATTAAATCAACTTAGGATTAAAGGTTTTTACAGACTTTTTGTATTCTAAAATATTGCCAGTGTCTTATCCCAATATAATTATCTCTCAATTTGACAGAACGCATAGAAAACCTTCAAAGCCAGCAAGCTTCCTTGCAGTCTGAAAATGAACGTTTTGAAAGTGAAGTTCAAAAGCTTCAGCAGAAACTTAAAGTAATGACTGAGCTTTATCAAGAAAATGAAATGAAACTACACAGGTGCTGGCTCCTCTTCTTATATTCAATGCTTGCTGTTTGATTTGAGTGTAGCTCTGATTTGGGGGACTGAAAATTATTAGAAATTTGAATACTGCTTTCCAGAATTTTCTGAATTGTGAAAACAGTTTATTACAGTTTCATGTACATTTATGATTACATAGTTTTTTTTCTAGTTTTATAGAAACTGTTTCCATGAAACAATTAATTCATTTTAGGACTTTTCCACAAGAAAGTACAGAAAAGAAGAAGCAACAGATTTTGAATCTATGTAAATCTGGGATTAAAGTAGGAAAGCTTGATTATTTTTGCTTTAATTGAATTATTATATGACGTAATACCTGTGTCAAAGTTGCTGAAAGAAAATTAGTAGGTGCTTTAACTGTGAAATACATTTTACTTAGTAAAAAGAGCAGGTAATGTCAGAGCAATGATGAGATAGGTATAAAACTAAATTTAAAACATAGGCAAGATCTTGTTGGTAAGCAACATAGAGCCCTTATGAGTCAGGCTTTCCTTACCAAGAAAACCAGAATATGAAGGCTGTACTATCTGCCTCACAGTCAAGTGTTAGTGGGGATTATGACCTAGTGATTGAAGTCAGAAATGTTTAGGACTAGAAATTACAGTTGATTGGTCCAGGGCATGCAGTAACCTTCAGGAGTGCATGTGTGTGGCAGCAGGGTGCATCACTTTTAGGGCATGATGGTAAATTACATCATTTACAGCATAATCTTGAAGGCAGCAAGAGAATCAGCACAAGACTAGATCCTGTACTGAGCAGTGTGCAGGACCTTTCTGAAGTATCACTTTGAGTAATCTGCTCTGTTAGCATATATATTTGTGTAGATATTTAGCATCTCTGTACATGCAATAAATCCTAGAAATCACTGTATTAGCATTTTGATTTTTAAAAAAGAGCAGGGAGGGACTGGGAAGGAACCTGTTAAAAAGAGGATACAATTAGCAGGCTGAAGGCATGTATGGATGATATTTAAAAATAACCTCACTAAAACTCAGCAAATGGACACTGCTTATCAAAGAATTTTAGAAAAGCCAAAAAGGAGTGGGGAGAAGCTGGTGTGATGTTTCAGCACAAAAAGATTCAGAATTAATTAAGGCATCTTCTGAAAACTGGGTCTGTTGAAACATGGGAAATGAAAAAGTGGGAAATGAAAAAGTAGGAAATGAAGATTGAGTAGAAAATAATTTTAAATCATGTTCATGAGATCCATGATTTAGACAGCTTGATTGCTGAGAACTGCTGTTCACAGGAGAATGACCATTTCATCCATTCAGGGCTGTACACAGCAGTGGTATCCATGTGTGTTCTGCAGAGCTACCTTGTGCATAATCGGGACTGGAGTTTGAGTTTTCTTTTCTGTAGTCCCCAATAAGGCATAGGGATAAAAAAGAGAAACCTGCAAAGACTTTTTTTTTTTAAATAGCTAGTAACAATCTTTTTTTCCTCTAGAAAATTCTTTTTAGAAAATACCAGAACAAATCACTGACTCTTAGTGTAGTTTGGGTTTTAGTTTGTTTGGTATGATTTGTGGCTGCTTTTAAAATTGTTGACTTGAAACACAGTTAACCACAGTTTTTGAATTTTGTTTAAAGGAAGTTGACAGTCGAAGAGAGGGAACGTCTACAGAAGGAAGAAAAGCTTTCTAAAGTAGATGAAAAAATTACTCATGCTGCTGAAGAACTTAACAGCTACAGGTAATTGCAGATTTTAGTTGCTGTAATCACTTGTTCCAAAGTGAAGAAAGAGCAGTAGAGAATTAGAAAAAAAACCACAGCATAAGCAAATGTATTTTCTTCCATTTTCTTTGTGGTGTGTGTGTGTTAGATGCTAGTTTGTGTGTAATAATACAGACTAAGGGTGGTTTTACTTTGTTAGAACATTTGGGTATTGAAGATTGTGGCAACTTCTCTTCCATTAGAATCCTAATTGTACTGATACATCAGCTTTAACGGTGTGGTAGAAGTTGGTCCCTAAACTAGTTTCCCTTACTGAACAAAGTTAAAAATACAAAGTTAAGAGAATGTTGTGAAGTAAACAGAATGTTCAGTTTTCCTACAGAGATAACATTTGTGCTGTATAGTTATGGTATTCTATTTCTGTATTTCAAAGCTTGTCAGATTATTGCTTAGAAATTCTTTACTAAAATATTGTCGTGGGTGAATATTGGCTGTAGCTGTTTAACTGCTCTGCTCTGGTTTTTGTTACACCAGCTGTATACCTCCAGGTTTTTTCTGCATTTTCTCTAACTGTGGCATAATTTTTCTGTATGTAATGTATGTTTGCCATTTTACTTTACATGGGAGTATTAGGCCTAACAATAGTGATCAGTGCTTCCTGAAGAGTTAATTAAATTAATTCTTTCTTGTGGACGTTCTTCAGTATTCATACAGGATGACAGAATTCACTCTGATTTATTCAGAACATGGATTTTGTAGGCATCCTAATTTTAAATAGAATATTAATATTGCAAATTGAGTATAACCAAGCAATGTCTGTGTCTTTGGCCCACCTGCTGAGAGAGTGTAGAACCTAGAGAGGCTGTGCACAGGGCAGCTGGCAGCAAAGGTGGCATCATACATGTGGTCTTGAAGTAACTTCAGTGCAAGTGACTGTCCCTCAGGAATGACTGGTAGCCTGTGACAGTGTGGTGCTCCAGCTACATCAGTTCCTCTGCTGAGCTGGGTGAGGCTGGCTGGTAGGGCATGTGAGGAGGGATAGCCTTTATGCTGGAAACATCACAAACCACTGAAAAGATGGGGGTGTGTTGGGGTTTGGATTCTGTTCTCTTGTTTACATCCCTGCTTGCAGTAATGTAAGGCCTAGAATTTCCACTGCTAGTATAATTTTTTTGTATCCCATGGGCCTATTTGGACAAGAAAAACCAACAACTTAATTACACCTTGTGGCTACTGTTCAGTTTATTATATTCAAAACTTTCCTGCATGTTTTATTACAATATCATAAATTCTCATTTTATTACAGAGAACGAGCAAAGGATCTTGAAGAAGAACTGGAGAGAACCATTCGTTCTTATGAGAATCAGGTATTTTGTGCTTTGTGACAACATCTATGCCAGAAGGAGGGATGTTAGTGCAACTGGAGTACCACTTGCTGTTAGCTTGTGAACTGTATTTGGCTTGACTTTGTTGGGTGCCTAATTTTGCCTCCCCCTTTCTCTTCTTAATTTCATCTGGTTTTGACTGACATGAATTCATAGCAGAGATCACCAGATAACTTCATTGAAAAGTTGAATTTTCAGTTTAGGCAATCATTATAAATCACTCACACACATTTATAAAATTTGTAAAAAAAAAGAGCATATAATCATAAGTTTTGGGGTTTAGGTGAATAATGAATCTCTCTTTCACAGATAACTTCACATGAGAAAAAAGCTCATGATAATTGGGTAAGTTCCAGATACTGAATTTTCTGCTTTTTCTGCATCTTCATTTTTCATTATTTGAAAAGTTTGCTTTATAAAATAGTTGGAAAAATTAAGCTGGATACTTATGAACATAGTAGTATGATAATCTTATATTATTTGTTATAGGAATAAATCTGCTGGAAGAACATGACACCATATAATGTGTGACATTCTGCTAATAATGAAAGCTTTTGGCCTTGTTTCAATGCCATTTTGGTATTTTCTTTGGGTGTACTTCACTTCTTTTATCTACAAGTAGAAGACGTTATGTCCTGTGAGAACAGTATGTTCCATTGACAGCTTCCTAAGAGTGTTTCTACAAAATCCATTTTTGCCTTTTTTTCCAAACAGGAAAATTTAAAATATCTCCTGACTAATACATTCTTCACTTTCACAGAATGTCTGACATAAAGTCCTGCTAAAAGCTATAGTATTCTGTGGTCATAATTCCAGAGCTTTTATGTATCAGATTTTAAAGTAAGGCATTCAAGTTTTAAGAACCTGCAGGAGAGCCTTATCATTCCTCAAACGTTTGGGTTTTAGAGCTGCTAATATAATTTGCTGACATATGTGAGGCTCCATACATCAATCATATCTTGTGAAACTGCAATCTATACATTTCATATAGAATATCTTGGACCTAGGAATTGTCATATTTATGAAGCATTTAATCAAAAAGTAGCAACATCTAAGCATCTGGTTTTTGTCCTTTCCTGAAGCTGACAGCCCGAGCAGCTGAAAGACACCTCAATGATATAAAAAAAGAAAATGCACATAACAGACAAAAGTAAGTGCAGTTCTTATCTACTCCTAAACAAATGCAGTTTGGCATGTGTTGGATTTAGGCAATTTCATGTTTTCTCTTAATGTATTGTGGCCCAAACATGGCAGAGAGATCACAGTGTTCGAGTACTGAAAGAAAGGGAGCCACTTGAGCTTTCCTGTAATTACGACATGCAAGAAAGTAAGAATTCAGGGACTCTGTGAAGTATTGAAATACTTCAGGAAAGAAGCAGAATGTAGTAGTAGAACACAAATGTTGGGGGTGGGGGTATTGTTTATTAGTTTTAAGTATGTATCAACCAGATGTTATGGTTACCTTACAATTTTACAGCTTATGTCAGAAGTTAATGCTGAGCAGTTGGTGATAGTTGAGAGGCTCTTTCAGGTGTGAGGTTAACTAATACTTGGAGTGCAATTAGAGTGATCTCATACTAGAATTGTGATATCTAAAATGCAACTTCAACTTCTGAATTACAGTTTAAACACAGCAGCATAGAGGAATACTTGCAGGCATTTTTAAATTAAGAGTACTGTGCATCCTTTTATTTATCCCTTATTTATTTAGGAAATAAAACACCTTGCTTCATTAACCAGTTAGGTAGAAAGCCTGGCAGTAAACAGTGTAGTCTGTTAAAGCTTTTGCATTTCTTGGTCACTCACTACTTATTTGTTGTCTCTCTGCAGATTGACTGAAGCAGAATTTAAACTTGAACTTTTAGAAAAAGACCCTTATGCTCTTGATATTCCAATGAGACCATTTGGCAGAGGTACAGTATTGAATTGTAAAATAGAGCCTAATTCTTCTGGTTTATGTTTTGTTTCCCAAGACCACACATATTTAATTGTTTGAAAACTATCTTGGCCATGTATATGTTCAAATGCCAGTCATTTTAAAAAAAAATAATTGGGTCATAAGTGACTCTAGGGCATGTCAAGTATTTTGTTGAAACTAAGAGCATTTGTAGTATTGATGAGAGTAGACTGGGAATATGTTACACATGGTAATGAGAGCACAATTTTCATTTTAGTTATGCAGTTTAGTTTTTAACTTCATCTGAGAAGTTATTTATACAGTTTGTTAAACCAAGTATTGTGAACTTGAGTATTTTGTTTTAACTGTTCCAGAGCATTCCCCATATGGACCCTCACCAATGGGCCGGCCTTCATCTGAAACAAGAGCTTTTCTTTCCCCTCCAACTTTATTGGAGGGTCCTTTAAGGCTTTCACCTATGCTTCCAGGTGGAGGAGGAGGAAGAGGTACAATTCTTAAACTTGAAAATTTATCTATCCTGGATTTCTCTCTCCTCTCCTATAAACCTGTCACACCTTTTCCTCTTGTTGGTGACAAAAAGTATTAAATAAACAACCAATTCAACGTCAACAGTTAATTGGGCAAACTCTTCCTGTTTTTCAACTTGCCTCTAAAGCTGTTTAATGTGTAACAGTACAATTGGAAATCTAGATTTTATTGGTAGGTTGGTCAGTGGATTCATTTTAGATGCATAAATTAAGAAAAGTAAAAAGCCAGACTTATCCATTGTCTTTTATTTCTTGGACGGATTTGAGTTCTGTTGAGATAAATATGATTTTAAAGTAAAAGGGAGTCAGTTAGTTTTCCAAAGAAAGAATACTGCCCCTTCCATCTCATTGGTCTACAGTCCATGAGAGAATGTTGTCTAAAACATGAGGCAGTTTTATTGGAGGTTGTGGCATTAGAAAGTTACTGGTTCAGTAAATTGTTTCCCTTCCCTTTGTTCTAGAATTGGAGCAACCATCATACAGGGAGAGTGTTTCTTCCCTGACAGAAGGGACCAGGAATTTTGTGTATAAGGAGTGAAATTCAGAGATTCAGGAGTAGGTGAAAGTAAGCTGGGGTGGCATGTAAGGGAAGAAAAATCCCCCCCATGCATATTTCTTGTGTTGATTGAAGCAGTGTAGGTAAATGCTGGAGTGAAGTTCAGCATCTGTTACAGGTAATAAAGAATTACTGTTCAGTTTATTTTTATCATTACACTTGTTGAAGCCTGTAGTTAATTAATTAAAAGCAATACGTCCAGATTTCTCTAAGGATTTCAATAAGTGCAATTATAGTACTTATCTCAGAGTGCACAAGACACACAATGGCTTCAAGTTTTAGGTTGAATTTTAGCGTGGAGAATTAGAGATTGATAGAATTCAATATTTTTGTAATTTTTCAGACCCAGACTGTTTTAGAGGAAACTTACAATCTAAAATTACTCATTTTTATTTTTTTTTTTGCACTTGATTATGTGTTGACCTGGCCTTAGAGGGGGGTTTTCGTTTTTTTTTGTTTGGTTTGGATTTTTTGGTTTGGTTTTTTTTTCTTCTTCTTGAATAAAGAAGTAGAGCCAGAAGGGTGTTGAATGCAGATGGGTGTTTTATGATACCAATATTAACTCTCTCAGCGTGCTAATTGTTAGCTTGATTAGCAGCAGGTTTTTATCACTGAGAAGATTATTTATCATGACCGTACTGATTTCTGGTTCAAATTAACTGAAACTTGTTAAATTACTAGTTTTTTCAGAAGCATTGCAGGTCCTCTGTGTTGTGCTGTTACTGAACTAAAACCTTTCCCTTGCACACCTTTGAAGACTTTTCATAGGCATAACTTGTCATTAGCAAACAGCTGGAGAGTCCTGTGGAGCCGTGTGCCTCGTGTGTCTTGACAGTGTTGGCATTCCATGATTTGTTTCACCACTTTCAGACTGAATAAGGAAAGCCATAGCAGAGGGTTTAAAACACAAGGGTGAATAACTACTTGATTTCTTCTATTAGGATCCAGAGGCCCAGCTGCCATGTATGAAGCTGGAAGTGAAAGAGGAGAGCTGAATTCTGATAGATTAACTGATCCCCACAGACCACCATCAGATACTGGATCCCTGTCTCCTCCTTGGGAAAGAGAGCGAAGGATAATTCTGCCTCCACCAGGTAAAAACTATGCTTAGCTACTGTATCCATGGAAAAGAGGAGTTACTGACTTGCAGTCTATATATTCAACTGTTCTGAGTTTATAAATATTAAATGTTTCCTTGGACCTGCATGTGCAACTGAACTGATTTTTTTTTAATAGTGATTTTTTCCTCTTCTTGAACATTGTGGTTCACTGCACTTCTCTGCTGTCTTTTAAGTACATATTGGTATTACCAAGGGACAACCAACTGTTTGGTTTCATCATTTTACTGGGAGTTTGTTTGGTGCATTAAAAGACCTGTCTGGGCTGGATAGTTAAAAAGAGATTTAACAAGTAATAAATTCTAAATACTTTAAATAAAAATAGGTAATGGTGAAAAATACTACTTAAAAAAAACCAAAAAACTTTTATACTAATTATTACAGCAGTACCATAGTACATTTATCCTGTCTGGCACATGTTTCCCCATTGATGCTGTCTCTTCAATAATTAACAGCAGGAAAATCAGTTTTCACTCTCACTTCTTCAGCTAAACATCTGTATTGCACATTACCTCTCAGGGAAGGCAGAGATGAGTTATTATGAGTTATAAGAGGATTCTGCTGATATTTCTCAAGTAAAAACTTGGGGGGGATGGACAACCTTCCTTTTTACCTGTAATAAAGAAGAAAAATGTTACAAGTTTAGAAAAAATAAAAATTTAGATAACATACACTGATTAAGGTACCTCAGTTTCACCTGTGTGAAAGCCTGGTGGTAGAGCTCAAGGTTCTCTCAGGATGCAGTTTCTCATCTGGCAGGTCTGGTCTGTTGACAGGACACTGCAGAGAGGTATGCTGGTTTCCTTGGCCTTTCCTTCTTGTTTTTAGCTCACCTTTGCCCTTGGATTTCACTGATACGGTTTGTCTTGTAGCTGCATGATGGATTGCTAGCTCTGATCCCTGCAAGTTGGTGGAAACATGTTACAGCACTATGAAGAGTAATGGAAAACAGCATTCTTACCTAAGAATGGCTTAAAACATACAGTACCTTATTTTGTCTTCAATCTTCTTTGCTAGGCTGAACCTTTGTTTCAAGGCCCCACTGTTTATAACTTAGGCCATCATAACTTTCAAAATTCTGCTGTACGTTAAACCAAAAATCAGTGAACTTTTTCTTTTGTAGCTCTTCAGAAACATAAGCTATTGGATATACTTGGTGGGATTCCTCTAGGTTATTTAAGATGTGTTTGCTCACCCTGTATATTTACTATATATATAAACTTTGTATATTTACAAGAGCATAAGATACCCAGAGAATCTTTCTGGCCTAGAATTGTGTGGAATGGAAGGAATAAATCTTCACAGACCTTTTTTTTTTGTGATTTCTTCAATGTTAGGTGAGCCTTACGCTGATCCAGTTCTTTCTGCTCGAAGACAAGAAAGATTTTTCCCTAATCCTCCAAATACTGGAAGGCTTTCTGGACCAGCAGAGCTACGAACTTACAATGTTCAGTCTTTTGACAAAACAGGTGGGAATTGCTTCCACGATACTCTAAAATGGAAATTCCCAGTGTAAGATGACTGTGCACGATAAGCTGTGGTAAGAGGATAGGTCTTTAGCTACCACAGACCTGAAGTTCAGTTGTGTAAGAAACATGTTAACCCCTGCTGGCCTTGATGCAGCCATTCCCTGTTGGAACAATAGCCCTCCCTGCTGTCGGGTGGGTGGGATTCTGTGAATGCCAGTCATGAGGTATTTTTTTTGGTCTACCCTCACTGCTCTGTATGTTAATCACTCATAATTGGTTGAGAGTCTGTTTTGGTCCCTCCCATGAGGCTCATCACAGCATTAAAACATCACAAACTCATACATGCATTTCAGTGCCACATTTGGTAAAGTTAGGAAGGGTTAGACTCACAAAGAGTGGAACAGAAACAGCCAAATGTTCAAGTGTCCACTGGCTTAGTGCATGGAGGGAGAAGGTCTGAGGCCTCTTCCTTCAAACTGTTGACCATTGTGGCAGCTTTTTGTAGTTCACAATAAATTGTCCCCAGTTTAATCACACCTTTCACTGACCCACTAGTTTTGCATTGGCCAGTTATGTACATTTTAGTTGCACTTGGCAACTGCCAGAAGCTCATAGGCAAAGTTTTGGTCACTGAAACCTTACCACTGACAGCTTAAGAGCTTAATACTTACTAAGCATTTTCCACCTTTCTGTAATGCCCTGGTAAGTTACAAGTGTCTGATTCCTCAGCGAAGTGAAGCCATTAAATTCCCAACAGAAACTTCACCACCCAGGACTCTGTTACTGACAGGCTTGTTAGGAAGTTACCATCTGCCTTGCAGCCTTTGTGGCCAGAGGAGAGGGAACCTTTGCTACTCAGTGTCACAGTATAAGAAGTGGAAATGCTGAATTTAGTTTCAGGTCGAAGGTTCAGGTTTCAAAGTGAATTGTTCTTTATTGGAAGACAGTTCTGTCCTTGTGTAGCTATTGACCTTCCCTCTTTCCCAAGCCTTCTGTTAGTTTCACTTCTGCTTTCTCTTACTTCTGCTTTCCAATACTTCCATGTTCCACTGAGATCCTTCTTCTAGCACCTGAGGCTGCTGAGGAGAGGTGCACTGTCTTTGCATTTTAATGCAACCTTTTTTTACCCCTGTCTTCAGTCACTGCCAAGCAACAAGTAATTTATTTTTTTAAACGTTGTATTCAGTTCCTGGGCAATTCAGCACCCCCTTAATGGAAACAGGATCTTTGAGAACCTTGTTGCCAGCATTTAACAGGTCATTAATAATGTGTGAATGTTGCTTTTTAAAGACACATAATTTCACTAGAGTTGGCTGAGTATTTGTAAAAAAATCCAAGTACCCGTTTCAATTAAAAAACCAACCACCAAAAAACAGCCTGTCCAGCACATCTGACTTCAGAACAGCAGTGTCTCACAGTACTGAAATCAAGGCTCCTACTCGTTGGAGTTAACAAGTTACACTTCTTAGGAAGATGATCAAAATGTTATTTAAAGTGAACAAAATAACATGGATTTTCCTAAGCTGGGGTGGCGAACTATAAAAACTTTTCACATGAGGAGGTACCTGGAGCAGGAAAGGTGTCAGAAAGAAGAGTTAAAGGTTGACAGAGTTTGTGAGGAACTTCATCAGGACTTAAAATGGAAAGTGTTACACAACAGAAATATCAAGGCATGAATATTCTCTGTGTGACATAGGAGTTGAAATGTTTTAGATTAAGTAACAATATTACCAACAAGAAAGGGCCTGCTTGAAATGACAAGTAATTTAGTAACTGTTTGTTCATTGAGTAAAAAGCTTTGTTTGCTTTCAAGGAGTAGAAATAAAACATGCTAATAAAAATTCTGTCACAAGTCTTGTTTTGGTTTGTTTTTTAGTATAATCATCTCTATTCAAGCTGAAGCATAAGAAATAATTTTTCAAACCCCAGGTTTGGGGGATTGTTTGTTTAAAGAAAGTGTATTTATTATATATATTTAATATATTTATATCCAGTCAGATTCTATTCTCTGACAATTCCCTTTACTAATTTTCTCCAGTTGTTATTGAAAATATTTGTTCCCAGCAAAGTTTAAAAGTAAGAACACGGAAGTTTTTATTTATCTCTACTTATAATGTAAATAAGGCAAATGAGAGGAGGAGGATGATGATGGTGATTATTATTATTGCTATTATTATATATTTTATGACTGCTTATCCAAAACTGAGGTAGTTCTGGAAGTCTCCTTGATATTTGTCAGCCAAGGAAGGAATTGGTTTTTGTCATACTTGAATTGGTGTCAAGTGTGCCAAGAGCATATCATAGCACAGCCATTCCCAGCATGCGGCTTACTGAAGAAATAAACTGTTGGTCGGAGGGAGGGAGAAAATGGAACTGCTGCTTGCTGTTGGTTTTGTTGCCAATCTATCCTGATTTCAGAAAAAAATACTGAAATCATTGGAAAGAGATCAGCACTGAACAGGTTTTTTATCTTTTTCATACAGATGGGCAGACATCTTCAGAACATAGCCCACGAGCAGAACCAAGTGGAGATGGGATGAAGGATCACTCTAACCTGAGCGTGAGTAGCTCAAGAGAGGCTTGATTTAAAGAAGCTTTAATTTTCTGCAAAACACAAAAACATTTGCCTGTGGTCCATTGGTCACATTATATTGCACTCTTCAGTGCAAATGATAAAATTATATGTATACTTGATCACAGCACTTACTGTCTTGTGAATGACTTTGATGTATGACTAATATAATCCCTGTTGAAAATTTAATTATATCCCAAAAGATGAAACTATGGTCAAGCAGATGGTCAGTACACATAGATAGCCTTGCTCTTAGCTAGTGTCACAGTGAGCCTGATGGGACTGGAGATACTCCCCTTCCCTCCTCTAACTTCCTGGTTTCCTTGTGTTGCAGAACTCGCTCCCTGATCAGTCACTGGCACCTGAAAGTGAAGCTGTCAGTTCAGGGTTTGCACCCCCACCTTTCCCTCCAGTCAGACCTCCGCTGATGCCTGTGGATCCTAGAGCACCACCAGTACCTTTCATGAGACGAGGACCTCCTTTCCCTCCCCCTCCTCCTGCTGGCATGTACGGGCCACGGGAATGCTTTCCAGTACGAGACTTCGGGCCTCCACGCCCTTCGCTGCCAAGTACGTGCCTTTAGCCAGCATTTGTTTCAAGCTGATGAACACAAATGCTTTGTGCAGGCAGAGAGTTACCACAGGGGGTACACGTGTACAGATTTGCACACACTGCTTCTTAGCACTGCTTCAGCTAACAGAGAGCATCTTTTCTGATGAAGGTTCATTGTGTTGGACACTTCCTTTTTCACAACAGCTCATCTTGATCTTTTCACAAATACTAGCTTTGGCTGGAAAATACACCTACTTGTACTGTTCAGGTTTAATGGATTTGTTTTGGGGGTAAGGAAGCAAGCAGGTGGTTACCTTAATCCTTTTCTTCCTATGAAATTAAATCTTACATAAGTCTTAAAAGTTTCATCCCCTGGCTCAGAGGTGTGCTCACGGTCCCTAAACAACTGTTTTTGCTTGGAGTTTGCATGACTGAAGCAAGGTGTAAGTATCAGACTGCAGGACTTCTTTCTGACTCTTGCTGTTCTCTGAGTATGTGTGAAGATCTAAGCTATTTATCTGCCAAAATATCTGTAAGGAGTAGCATGTAGGGGCTGGCTGCTGTGGCAGACTGAAGGGGATGTTGGCAGCAGCAGCCCAGGAACTGGCAGTGGCTGGCTGCTGCTTAGAGACTATAGTGGGTAGTAACTACTGAGAAAAGGGATGGTTTTGCCCTCCTCTTTCCTGCCATCTCTGTGTCCTGACATGTGACTTCTAGTTAGACAGGCCTAGCTGAGCAGCAAGCCAGCAAGAGGAGCAGGTGTACATGTTTACTGTTGTGATTGATATTAACTGGATTACTCTGATTCTCTCACAGTAAGAAGTCCATTTCCAATGAGACCTTATCCTCACTATCCACCTCAACGACCTGGATTTTTGCCTCCACCACCTCCTCCTGAAAATAGAGTTGAACCATCTCAGTCAAATCCATCAGCTGTAGAACCAGAACCACAGCAGGAGACTTGACAGTCACTTGAGGAATGTCCTGAACCAGTTTTGTGCTCTCCTACTGGCATTTTTCTTTATGTTAAGTAACCATCGTTACTTAGGTCTATACAAACTACTTCGCTCAAATTGAAGCTTAATAGGGAAAATTCTCAGGATAGTATTTTGTAAATAAAGAATTAAATACCTATGAATATTGTGAATAAGTGATTTCCACTGTACAATAGTTGTTTTAAATTAAGTATTTCTAACTTGAGTAGTCTCTTCAGAGGTGTATAAAATTAAATCATGTGAACCTTATTGTAAAAGTCCAGCTGCTTTGTGTTGGTTGAGCTGTACAGGGAGTCTCTCTGCATGCCAAAAGTGATGCTTGCTGCTTTATGAAGAGGATGTGAAAAAAATGGAAACAGTTAATAAAAATCTACAGAAAATGAAAGCAATGTCACTGGTAAGATGGTATAATAGATGATAGGTGAATATGAATAACCATGATTCTCCACAAGAGCCCCCTTTGTTAATGGCCTTGTAGGTGATCTTTCAGCTCTCAAGTTCTACAATGTGGCAGTTCTGCCACAATACAGAGGGGGAAGAGGCAGTAGAAAAGCTGAGCAACTCTCCCATCACTCTTCAAAAGCTGGAATGGAGTAGTGTTTATTGAAGATGCATACAGGGGGTTTTTATGATGAGAGGAAGGAGTCATAGCTAAGAGATGCCCCAGCCCAGCCCAGCCCTTGCCTTTGAAGATATGTATTTGCAGCAAACTAATAGGAGGGGTGTGTTTTTACTGTGTCAACATGAATTCAGTTTATTAGGCTTTGGATTTTAACACCAGCATGGGAAAATGCTGGGCAGGACAAAAGCAGAATTAAAAAGTACAAGAAGGAAATGGCAAACTGCAGCATTAATAAGTTTGTGTCCATAAAAGGAGTTGTTGTGGTACCTTGCTCACCTCTTCAGGTTCCTGTCTGGTGCTTCCCTGGCAGGAGTGGTTGCCCCAGCAGGCACAGTGCAGCCAGGGCAGGGCCCAGTGCCAGGCTGGATCTGGACAGAGCCAAGCTCTGCTTTTAGGTGACTGTACAGTCTCAAGACTTCTGCTAGGAGCTGGTGGCTGCTCTGACAGTTTAGCTTCAACTTGAAAACCATGTAAGGACTCGGTCATTTGGGAAGGGACCCTCTAAGATAAAGAAGCAAACTGGTTTTAGCAAGCCCCAACTCAGCAGCCGTTCAGCCACCAGGCTCCATTCTCTGCATGCACGCACACATAACACACAGTTGCAGGTTTTAATGTAAATGCAGCCACCACACCCATAATTAGATGTTACCAAAAAAACCTCCAGCCCACTTCTTTTTTAATTGCTTAGGTCGAGTCTGCCAAGGGAGCATTTTCTCTTGTAGCTCAGTACTCCTGCTCCTACCATTATTCCCACATTTGTTTCTTTCAGCTGTAGAACTCTTCTGTGGCTCACTCCTACAATTTCTTTATCCTTGCTGCTTCTAGCTCACCCCTCAAAGCATTTAGATAAGTCTTTGTACTCCAGCAATTCAGTGTCAGATTCTGACAACAGACATTTTAAAGCATCATCCGTGTTAAATTAACCATGTAGTTTAACATGGCTGTTGCATCAGTTTTAGCCAATTAGTTAATGGCTACGAGTTTGCCTGAGAGACTTCACAAGGATTCTCAAAGGAATTACTGGGTTTTACCCTTACTCTTGTCATCAGTCTTAGGAACAACTAGAACTGCCAAATACAGCCTTGCCCCTGCACAGAGAACCAGGGTATAGCACAGAAATCCTGGGCTGGTAACACTGCCATAAACCTTTTTCTTTCCTTGCCCAACTCACCTGGGAGGCTGCAAAAACTGTTTATGAATATATCTGTTTTCTGAGCAAACACAATATTTTCTCCAAATATTTATTCTAAGGTAACTCTGAAAAATTCTTCCTCCACCAAAACAGTCTATGCCCACAATGGCACCAAAAGCTGCAGACAAAAGAAAAGATAGCTGTACTAAGAAAATGCAGGAAAAGCATGGATTGGATCATCCTGTACAGAGAATAGCATCATTTGAGACTTTTTTTCCCCTCCCCAGTAGCAGTCCAAAATTTTATTTTCAAATCTGGAAAACAAGCTCAGGTTTATGCAATAGGAAGCAGGTAGATGGTAACCTGTCAAATGTAGAAAGGACACACAAAAGTGTATGTAGGGAAATACCTGTTCTACCAACCACAAAAAGAATAAGCAACCTAGCTGTGATAGATGAAAGCTTGTGTTCCAAGCTCCTGCTGAACCTAGAATGCAAAAGACTAACTTGGTATTGCCATCTTTTCAGGAAACACAAAGAAACAACAAAAGTAAAATTCCTTTTGGGATTATGCAAGTTCAGTGTAATTTCACAGTAGTTTGTAAGGTCCCACTCCAAATGCAAGAGAATATTAAGATCATCGTTATTTCCTAACAATTCCGGATCGCTTCACCTTGAATCCCTTCATCCTGGTATCACTAATTAAGATTACTGCTGAAAATACAGGCAGACAACAAACACCACTTTTACCTATTCCTAAAACAGGATAGAAATCGGGTGCATTTCTCCAGCACTGCTCAAAGTGTGGCTTTCACCCCACACTCCTGCTTTACTGGACTCCCTGTAATTTCCAAGACAGAAAGATTGTAGCCATTTGTTTTAAGTGCACTGACTGTGTGCCCTGAACACAAGGCACACCCAGTGAGCAGACTTCAGGCTGTATGAAAAATATCAGACCTGGAGCATTCTAACAATGGACAGCCACTGATTGCTAAGAGCCAGCTCTGCTGCAACTGCAGCAAGTGAAAGGGCCGCACATCTCTCTCCTGTAGTCAAGTGGGCTGCTTCTCCTGCTCCTCATCTTATCATTCAAGATTAAGTTCATTAAAACAAAGCAGAAAATAGGTTAGACCAAACAGATTAGAACTTTTATAACAACAGAAAGGCAAACAGGTTACTTCCCAACTGTTTAGTAAGGCAGTTACCCATAAAATGCAGTAGCTTGCAGAGAGAAAATTACCATTCTGCAACTGTTTAAACCAGATGATGCAGAATTTGCTTTCTTCATTTCTGGCTTTTTCTGTGTGACTTCCTGAAATCTTCAACACTTCACACCCAAACTTCAGGCTCAGATGCTGCTGAGCAGTCACCATCAGATTGATCTGCTACATAAACCTCCCTCCTGAGGCCGAGCCCTGAAAGGCACCGAGACAAGTCCCAATATTTCACTTTACTGGAATATGAAAAGCTGTAACTGTATTTACCTTATCTTTATTACCCACAGCATCTCTTCAGTATGTTGGCAAATGCTCTTGCTTACCAAATCTGGAAGATCTAGGAAACTGCTTGAACAAGCAGTGTGCAATTTTCACACTTGGCAGCAGTTTGGGCTATCGTAACGTGAAGCTCAGAAGCTCAAATAAAGTCCGTGCTTGGCACGCACACACTGACCAGCCACTCTGACAAGCCTCACAGCACAGCCAGCCATTGCAGGGCACAGCAGCTCTCCAACAGCTGAGCAGACATCTGCAGCTTTCATTCAGAAGGCACAGCTGTGTACTCTGAGGACAGATAAAACGTCAAACTGAAGCGTTGCAGGTATTCATAATCTATTTAATAGTGGGACACCAAAGAAGTACTACACATTTTTCTTGAGCACATTAGATTTTGATTTAAGCAATTGCAATTGATGCAGTAATTTCTCAAAAATAGTCTTCTATAGTCTACAATCCACAGTTTACTGTATCAGTCTAATAGGTCATATAATGATATATTGTTTGTGCTAACTGGTCTGATCTTTAGCAAAGCATCCTTCCCATTCCTCCACCACCCCAAAAAATGTTGACAAAATTCAGCCAAATTAAAAAAATTGTGTGACTTATTTTAGATTTTTCTGCTGACCTAAACACAATGGGAGCTACTAGTAATACACATCTTATGAACGATGTTGCATTTTAATTCTAAAAATCTTCATGCTGATAACAATAAAGTATTTTATACAGCGATCAATTTTTAATGCTTTATTCATTGATTAAAAGAATATAACATTTAACATAAACCATACAACATCAGTCATCAATTCAAACATTCAGCTGGTTTCCTTACATTTTCTGTCAGGAGTTTTTTTTAATCTGATCACATTTATAAGATAAAATCTCACCACATCTGGCATATACACACACTGTGCCAGTGGATTCACTCTACTGATGTACATATAAAATCCGCATGGTATGTGCTCACTGGAGACAAAACAGCGCACACCTGTCAAAAGGTCATTTTAATATAAGATGGTAAAACCATTTGTAAAACACATATAAACTTTTTCCATAAATAGAATCATATCTGGACATCTGTTGCATAAATTGTGTTTTCCAAAGCTTACAATATAGCAGCCAGGTCTCAGCACTGCTGGGCACCCACGTTGGCCACTTACTTTATTATTGCAGACTGTCCTTTAAACATTAAATGCACAACATTCGTACCACTTAAAACTGGGGTCAGGTGGAAGTCTCACAGAGACCACGTCTGTACCGCGGTTGCCCTGAAACAGTTACATCGGCTTCTAAAGCCTCTCAGATATAACAAGATTTTAAAACATACTTCATGGAATGTTCTTCATGCATCATAGCAGCTCATACCTGTGATAGAACAAGCTTTGTATTTGTTTCCTTTCCTTCCTTTACATTCACTATTCACAGTGAAACAGGTGCATGTTTGTTAAGAGTTCTGAGGTTGCTGACTGAGCCACAGCACAGCTGTGTACCACAGGTCGAAATTCGACCTTATATATTACAATCTAGCAGTATCTGGCTGGCCAAAAGTTGGCCTACCCCTGCCAGCATGTGGGCACTTCTTCGTTTTTAATCTATTCTTTGGCAGCTGACACAGGCGCTGACAGAGAAAATCCAGTGACTTGGTTGTTAGGGATTTCACGACTAATGTTTGTTTGCAGGTGTAGACCTTTGTATTGAAATCTTCACTGTTATGCGTTTACCTCACCGGAGTGCACATTTCTTGCTTTTTCCTTTTAAACTTTGGCCCAAAGCTAACTTTTAAGGAAGATGACAGAACATGAGAACAAACAAGGAGGAGTTTGCAAAGAATCCAAAAGACTACAGCTTTGTGGAGTGAATCTGTAAGTGCAGGAGCCTGAACGCTAGTGTATCACACCACCGCTTAGCAGCTAAGGAAAGCCGAGAATGGAGTTAAGCCATGCTGCAGAATCCGCATGTGAAATCAAGCAAGGTAAGAGTCTTACAGTGAACAGCCCTGGATAGACTTCTCGTCCCTTAAGCCTATTAAGTAGCATGCTATTGGATTAAGCACACAATGACAGCATAGAAATCCACTGGGCTATGGATATGGGTATTAAAAACAGTTGGCTCCCGAGCACAGGACTCCAATATAATAGC